TTTAAATCACTCAAGTATTATAAAAGTTATACATTTTAATGTGAAATGCCGGTTCTGCTGCACGGAGGGATAATCCACTTAATGGTACATTCCAGTGGGAGTATCCCTCTCGTCCAGCAGTGCCTGATGGGAGAAAAGGTCTGAATGTTAAGTCCCCCATGTAGTCCCCTACTGTACAACCCCTGCCATGTCAGTAAGGAAACCCCTTGCATGGGGACTTGCATAAATATTGGATGCTGTGAATAAAAACCTCAGTTGACTCCCAGAACTGTGTTTCGTCCGGTTACTGGGGGATTTGGGATATTGCCTTACTTTTCCGCCTTGACTGTGGATTACCTTCTTTACCAGCGGAGATCGTGGGATTTAATATTGCCGCTCCGCTACATTCCGTATGTGGCCCGGCAAAATGTTCACGTTTCCTTTTGTGGGGAGGGGCCCCTGGGTTGTCACCTCAAGGTTGAGGTTAAGGAGCGAATTTGGAAGGGGGACTTCCACAAATTTTTTTCTCTTATCCCTCTTGATGAATATTTGGATATGAAGGAAGAGGATAGGAAAGAAACATTTGGGAACTGGTTGCGGGCGTCTGGCATCCTGGCCAGTGTCATGGCGAAAAAATGCTTGCAGCACGATCGATGCTTGCAGCTTTTTTGTTAATTGGATTTGGGAAGCGTATCACACGTTCGGGGGCTTGGCGTGGTGACAGTACGACAAGCAATACAGCCAGCAGTTGTCGGTTAACCCGGGGATGAGGTGGGAACAAATGGACCTGCCGCTGTGAATGAAGCTCATGATGGTGCAGAAGGCGTCACCCTTCCCCCTCGTCAGCCATTCACAAGAATGGGTTCTGCTGGCTATTCAACGATAGCCAAATGCGTGCCGCTACAAGCATGAATGTTCAGGGTGCAGGGGGCGCGCATGGATTCAGTCGTTGTTTCAAGCGAGGTAAGGCGGGTGCAATGGGAGCAGCCATGTCATTGCTGGTGAAGGTAGGCGCAATGTTGCCATGGCTAAACAGCTACGGTAATTGGGAGGATGCCGCATTGCTGCGGGTGGGGTTCACGGAGGGGGATGGTTCTTCGCTATCAAAGTTTCAGTTCCTCCGGGTCTTTCGGTTGGTGTTGGGGCACCTGGGGCTGATTCCGACGCAGTTTGGTACACACTCATTCCAGATTGGGGCCACGACGGAGGCTTCACGGCTGGGTTTTGGTGATGATCTGGTCAAGAAGATCGGGAGATGGGAATCAGTGCGATTCAGGTCTTGTGTGAGGCCCAACCATTTAGTTTAAATATTGGTTGGGGGGGTTGTTGTTTTGTTCTCAGTTAACATGTTTTTCTCCCCTAGGTTGAACCGCTTGGTAGCTGGTACACTCCTACATGTACTGGGCGTACAGGAGGGTCGCAGTTCGTCATCATGTCGTGCAGCTGGGCTTTCCACGCTCGATGGTGCAACTTAAGTGGTTTGGTTTAATCAGCCAATTAGCTATTCAGATTGATTGGCGAAGGTTAGATGCCTCATGTTATTTTAATTCATGCAGGTGGGAATGATTTGGGGTTAGTTTCTCAGAGAGACTTAATTAATGGAATGAAAAGGGATTTGGAGAGGCTAAGGCAGTTGATCCTTGATGTGGTTGTTGTTTGGTCTGAGATGGTGCCGAGGTTGCTGTGGCAGCACGCCAGGTATCCCGGGGCAGTGGCTAAGAGTAGTGGGAAGGTAAATAAGCTGATGGCAGCTTATGTTAGATGGTTTGGGGGAGTTGTGGTCCGGCATAGGGATTTGGATGAGCAGCTTGCAGGGTATTATAGGCAAGATGGAGTGTACCTATCTGATGTGGGTGTTGACTTTCTATTGTTGAGGTTTCAGTAAGGATTGCTGCGGGCATTGTTTTTGGTGGTTGCGCTCAGGTAGTTCAAGGTGTCGAACTCTGAGCTGTGGCAGGGGATGGATAAACAAGTTGGGGTATACGGTTATTTGCCCAGATGTAACATAGTTTAGTTTGCTAAGAACTGTTAGGTTTGGTTAGATTTTGGTTGGTTCGAGTTCATCGGTAGCTCCGAACCTGGTGTGTGTAGGGTGTATAGTAGAACATGGTAGATCATGCCCTTTGTGGCAATGGTTTAAGTGGTTAGATGTTATTTATGTTAATATATGTTAATATTGTTGTTTATGGGGTCATTGTCAGGGTTGAATTGTTAAAAGAGTTGGAGCTGAGATGTTATGTTAAATATATTGACCTTTAATAATTTATATATTTTATTTATTAATAAAGCTGTGATAATTTTCCCAAACATAAGGTGTCTGAGTATCCTATGGTTTTGGGGGGTTGTTTATACCACATATGCCAAAAAGGCGACTATGCATATGTCAAAGTTTCAGTGGGTCTGACATCAAGTGGCGGCTCTCCACAAAACAGAAGCAGACTGGGAACAAATTGGTTACAATCCCAGGCAGGGCTGCAATCAGAAATTTTGGGGCCCCTGAGACAGCTCAAGGTCTGGGCCCACCTCTGACTCCGCCTACAGGGCCACCCCTAGCCTGCCAAAAGGGCCACAGTGTGTATACTGAATTTAGTGTGTGTTTAGTGGATGTAGAAGGTGTGTAGTGGATACAGAGTGCGTGTGTAATGCAGTATGTATAGTGGATGTAGACTGTACATTTGTGTAATGTAGGTAGTGTATATTAGATACAGAGTGTGTGTTTGTGTAGTTGATGTAGTGTGTGTATAGTAAATGCAGAGTGTGTGTTTGTGTAGTGGATGTAGTGTGTATCTAGTGAATGCAAAGTGTTTTTGTGTGTATTTGATGCAGTGTGTGTTTTTGTATAGTTGATGTAGTGTGTGTATAGTGAATGCAGAGTGTGTGTTTGTGTAGTGTGTAGTGAATGTAGAGTGTGTGTTTGTGTAGTGTGTTTAGTAAATGCAAGTGTATATAGTCACTGCATAGTGTGTTTGTGTATAGTGAATTCAGAGTGTATGTTTGTGTAGTGGATGTAGTGGATGTGTATAGTGAATGCAGTGTTTGTTTGTGTAGGCATGTAGTGTGTATAGTGACTGCAGAGTGTGCATAGTGAATGCAGTGTGTGTAAAATAGGGCCTGAAGCTGATGGGTGAGAAGGGAGAGCATTTTTTGTAACACTTATTTTAAAACAAATTTTTATTTTATTTCCCCCTCCCTGCTTGTTACCTGTAGCCAGGGAGGGGGGAGATTGCATTCCCTGGTGGTCCCGTGGCATGATGCTTGGAGCCAGGTGCTGTTCATTGCAGAGGGGGCCCAACACACTCTGACTCCACTTCCCAGCAGCATCGAACATCTAGCTGGGGGCCTGCTGGCAGGTACACATATATATATATATGGCAAAAATCAATATATATGTGTACATAGGCAATGTGGGGCCTGGAATTCCCCCAGCAGTCCAGGCCCCCCAGGACCGCTGGACCCTTGACAACCGTCACGATTGTCATGCCCTGATGGCTGCCCTGATTCCAGGCATATCTATTGAGCTAAGCCCTGCACTGATTAGCCATTTCCAAGCAGAGGAGGTGTCAAATGCCAGGTTTTTAAACAGTTTACAAAAATACCTGATACTAGTTAAGGCACCATGGCACTCCTGGCACCATAATCACTATAGCGTGATAGCATGATGTAGTGGATATAATGCTTAGAGTGTTCTTTTAATATCATTTTAGATTATATTACATTTTATATAACTTTTATATTTTTTTTGAATTGAGCATTTGAAGCTCAATAAATAATCAATAAAATCTACCAACTTTTAACACTCATTAATAAGCACAGAATCCACTACCGAACCTGTGTTTAGGATCACCAACTTGAATAGAACAAAAATGCATTTTTGGAGTTTGTTTCAAAATTTATAAATATATATATATATATATATATATATATATAGATAGATAGATAGATAGATAGGTGATGGCTTGGCACTCACCTTACCTGAATAAATAAGTACCTTAGCCTGGGTGCAATCCAAGGGCATCCAATATACAAGCAGAAAGAAGTCAGGATTACAGTTACTTCTTTCTGCTTATATATATATATATATATATATATATATATATATACACACATATATATATATATATATATATATATATATATATATATATATATATATATACACACATATACATATATATATATATATATATATATATATATATATATGTATATATACACACACACACATATATATATTTATTTTTTAGAATGACCCACTGTGACAAGACCAATCACGCCACATTGCATTGGAGAAGCCTGGTTGCTCGCCTGCTGCCTTTAGCTGCCCCATGTTGAAAAGCTTGATTTTCCCCTGCAAAGACACGAAAGCTGGGTCATTCGGTACTTGCCCTGTTTGAGCGGTGATACCCCAGATAGCTCTGCCATGGAGTCCATTCGTATAATGAAAGACTATGGGAAAGACTTTGGCTCCATGGCAATTGAACTGTATGAGTGCTCAGACCTAAGCTATCTGGGGATATGTTGCATGTCTGTATTTTATGTAATAAATGTAACCTTGTGTATTTTATTGTATTTTACTGTCTTTTTACTGCCATGTGCTTAATGGAGTTTTGCCTCTGTCCTTGGAGATAATTGGATTACTTCCCAATTATCTCCAGGATAGCAGACTCTGTGGAACTGGTTTTGGGCAGAAAAGCCATGCTTCCTTTGGTCACAGAGGACTTCGATCTATCTTTTGAACCACTGGACCAATTTGGATGATTTTGACATATGTGTGTATTTGGAGTATGCTGATTCTGAAAATGTGTTTATGTGAATGT